TATGCACAGTGCTTTGAAAGTTGATTAACTATGAAATCCTCTTCGAAAACTATAAACTGCTCTTAAATTACCACGGCATGAAAGAAATATATATTGTATAAAAGAGAGAATTTGAAAGGAAAAGGAAGTCGAATCTAAAATAATTCAGTAATATATATTTCATAAAAAGTTCCATGGGAAATTACATAAATAAAACTTTAAATTTACTTAATGCATGGTTTAAACAAAGTACTGTATTATAAGCTGGAAGAGCCCGTCAAGAAGCCAATCATGCTAGTTGTGGGGCAGAAGAAAAGGCTGAGAAGAGAAGACCTATCTATCCATCTCTAGCTCTTTGCACGCCTTTACCATCCTCAAAGCTTTTTAAGCTTCTCAATCTTCCAGGACTTCTATAAGCCAGCCGTCCTTTTAATATCATGATTCCATTCAAATTAAGGTCCTTTCTAGGGTTTGGGTGTTTTATAACAGGAACAAAGGAAAAGACAGAAAGTGCCAGCGTCATCCCTTCAAAAGAAAAATTATTAAAGAAATACTTGTAAGTAAAGCGAGAGTAAAAAGAAGGGAAAAAAAGTTTGAGTGGGGTAGGGATTCTTCTTCTTAGCCATCGCTTACCTCTCTCTCTCTCTCCCCTTAGTATAATTGCTCCTTTTAAAAAAGAATTTGTATTTTTCATACCATTATTTTTTCTTTTTTTGTATTTTCTATAATTTGCCACCCCCATCCTCGGTCTGCCACTGTAATCATAACCTCCTGTACATGTTATCTAGAAGAGAGATACTGATTATTTCTCTTTCGGTTATTTTTTCTCCTCCTTCCTTTATATAGGCATAAATAGACAGAAAGGCGAGTTATTGGGTAGTAAAGGGTTTTTAAGGAAAAACAAACTTGCTGTCTGGTCTTTCTATGTTTTATTGCATGGTGAACCCTATCTTAGCTAGCTTATTAGTTAGTTGATGATCTTTGAGAGGGAGAGAGAAGTTAAAGAAAGATTGGAAAGAGATATATCTGAATTGTGTTGCAGATTTGCTCAGAGAAGCAATCCATGGTTAGATAGCGACTTGGAGAATAACCCATCATGATCACCATCTCCTCACGAGATTTTGGTTTTGCTACCCAATGAATGATGCCTTTCTGTGTCTATAATTCACTGCCACCTGTTCATCAACAAAACTTTGTTTAGTTTAGTTGTGTCCAAAGCTGAGGATTCTCTATTTCTGGCCTTGGTCTTACATCTTGTTGTTGTTTCTTCAAGAGTGCAAAAGTGAACACTTGAACAAAGGTTACTCCAGAGAAAAGTGTTAGCTAGCACGAAATATATCAAACACAACAAAACAAAGTGGTATCACTTCTTGGTTTTTCTTTTTTTTGGAGTTTTCTTCTTCACGGATATGTTCCCTGCAGCCATGTCCAACTCAACTTCTTTGTCTGAAGAAGCTAGTGTCTCTTCTGGCACCAGACTTCAAGAATTTGGTAGCTTAAATCCACTGGCTTCAAACTTCTCTCCTCTGCAGCAGCAGCAACAAAAGATCATCAAGAAGAAGAGAAGCTTACCAGGAAACCCAGGTAGGTTTTTCATTTAGACCCTCCAATCTTGTTTTAGACTATTTAGGAAATTCTAATACCATAAACATAGAAAATGGTTTCTTTATATATGATCTCGCAGACCCAGATGCTGAAGTGATAGCATTATCTCCAAAGACCTTATTGGCTACCCATAGATTTGTGTGTGAGATCTGCAACAAAGGGTTTCAGAGAGATCAGAATCTTCAGCTTCATAGGAGGGGCCATAACCTTCCCTGGAAGCTGAAGCAAAGAAACAGCAAAGAAATTAAAAAGAAAGCTTATGTTTGCCCTGAGCCTACGTGTGTTCACCACCATCCTTCAAGGGCTCTGGGTGACCTTACAGGTATCAAGAAACACTATTGCAGGAAACATGGAGAGAAGAAATGGAAGTGTGAGAAATGCTCAAAGATCTATGCCGTTCAATCAGATTGGAAGGCTCACTCTAAAACCTGTGGAACAAGAGAGTATCGATGTGACTGTGGAACCCTTTTCTCCAGGTAAATTTCTCTTTTTTTTTTCCTTGCCTTTTTATTTTGGGATTTGAATTTTTTTTCTTTTCCTTTCTACACTTACGTTGGTCTCAAAGTCCTATGTTCCCTTCTTTACTTGTTTTTGATGTTTTACAGTTATGCACCGACTTTATATTTTGGATTCTCTAGGGATTCAAAGAAAATTTTGATCTTCTGTTTAAAGTGGGAAGTCTCATGTCTTCGCGATGGTCTTTGTATTTTGTTTCAGTCTGTTCTGTTTTTGTGGTTTGTTTTTTCTTACAAGAGTGGTAGGCTCTGCATGGAATAATATATCTGGAGCTTAAATGCATTGGCAGGTATATCATAGACGTGGACACCATTAATACAAGTGTCTGTTACTGCTAAAACCATAAGAGTAACTGAAAGCAAAGCTTCTGAAATCTGAACCTGCCAATTTCAAATTTTGAAAACAACAAACAAGACACTAAAGAGAACAATCCACTTAAATCTTTTGTTTTATGTATACTTTTGTCTTCTAATTCAAGACGAATCAGCTAAGTATATTCTTGCCTGGGGGTTCTGTGTACATCGTCGTCATCCAGATTGATTAAAAAAAGTAGGATCAATGTCATATTGCATTTACCTCGAAGGGTTTGACGTGCTTTCTTCACCGTGATTACTTCTTTCGGTACTTTATAAATTGAGTGATGACTGCAGTCTCAAAAACAATGATGAACATCTGCTCTTGTCCAAGAAAAAGGTGAAAAGAAAGCCCTTAATTTGCTTTGGGGGGTTTTCATATGGACGAGTAAGAACCGTGATGATTTCTTTCCCTTGAAGAATGCTATGATTCACTTGCAGAAAATACTGAAACCCTGACCTTTCATCATGACAAAAACTGATAAATCTGCAAAGATATCTGATGTGCTAATTTGCTTGCATTTTCTTTCATCAGCATTACAGATTTTGGCCCTTTCGGGGGTTTCAACTCTGAATTGCATATCTTTGTTACATGCATGAGCTCAAGTTTCAGAAGTCATTCATGTCATCGTCGTTTACCAATTTCTTGAAATTTTGAGCCTTTTTACCATCCAAGACTACTATTTCTGCATGCATAAACACCAATCAACTCTCTCTCTCTTTGCACTTTAGTTTTGACCAAAAAGGATTGTTTTACTTTAGTGTTATTGCTATAGCTTTATGGCAATCATGGCACGCACGGTCTTGTGGCTGTCACCCTTTGAGGAGTGCTACAAATTAAGATGAAGTAAATCAAATTAATTACCTTTAATTAGAATAATCAAATTCACATCAATATATCCTTATGATCTTCCTCATTCACCTTTTTTTCTTGATCCCATTTCCCAAATGAATTTAAAAGATTTCCCTGGTTAAACATCTTTTATAAATGGAGTTGATAAACATTAAATTAATTATATATTACCAAGTATATCTGTTCTTTCTTTCTATCTGGACCTTTCCTCCTAGAGCCCTTTTTTTTGCTGTTTTGGTTACCCTCCTCCTCAGCATCGTGATTTTTTTTTAATTTTCAAGTAAAAAGAAAAACATAATCTACTCTCGTATTTAGAAAACTATGCTTTACATGCCCTCTGCGGAAAGTTTAGTTTAATTAAACAAAGAACGTTGTGTTAATTAAGGTCTGAACTCCTAATCACTTCATATATAACTAAATCAAAGAAATGTACCCTCGATAACTAAGAGCTTAAATAGTTAATTACGTACAATGTCAAAGTTTTTAGAGTAGTATTTACCAACAATAATCAAATGTGTTTAACTAAGTTCCCTCATCAGCTATCCTCCTTTTGTTAATCAACAAGTATTAATCGCAAATTAAACTGAATTTGTTATTTTGGTTTGTAATGATAGTGTTGACTGATAATCTCTTTATGTGCCTGCTTTGTTGAAACTGCAGGAAGGATAGCTTCGTTACCCACAGGGCATTCTGTGATGCATTAGCTGAAGAAAGTGCAAGACTCTCAGCTCACCAGCTAATCTCCACAGATCCAAATGCCCAAGCTCTCCTCCTTCAAAACCCACTTCAAGCACACCCCATTTCTCTCTTCTCCGCCCCTAATCCTACTCATCAACAGCAAATCCTCCTTCAAAACCCACTTCAAGCACACCCAATTTCTCTCTTCTCCGCCCCTAACCCTACTCATCAACAGCAAATCTCCCTCGCTTCTCCTTGGGACCCGCCTCGCCATCACAACCCTAGTAGTAATAACCACCAAAACCCAGTTCACATCAAGCCTGAAACTCACAACCATTTTCAAATCCCTCCACTTCTCCAAGAACCACCACCACCAGCATTGCCTAGCCACAAGGGTTTGTTAGCCTCAACCTTCCAAAGCCTATCAAATGCCGTCACGTCATCAGCAGCATCACACCACTTGTCAGCCACTGCACTCCTTCAAAAGGCTGCAAGTGTGGGTGCCGCTCAGACCTCAGTGGGCCACAGCCAAATGACCCAGCTGGACATGGGCGAGTTGGGATCAGCGGGCCAGGTTCATGTCAACTCGGCGAGTCACGTCGCACAGGGTCCTAACTATAACCTTAACAGCCTTGCCACGTGGCAGAAGAGTGACGGCCTGACAAGGGACTTTCTGGGTCTGACCGGTGAATGCGAGGATCATCATGTCCATGCCGGGAGTAATTCAAATGGGAGGAGTGGGGGTGTTAACGCTAGCATGAATGTGAGGGAAATCCTAACATACACAGGGGTTGTAGGGTTCCACCAGCAGCAATACAATGAGAGAGACCACTCACTGCTGAAGCCTCCCGGTGGTTTTGGATTCGCTCAGCCATCCGCCTCTAAAACGTGGGGTGATTGCTAGAGAGCCCCTCAAAAGTAATGAGGGCTAAATGGTAATTCCATTTACTCCCTTCAAAATGACCAAAGTGCCCCTTGTCCCCGTGCCGCGAGAATCTAATGAAGGTTTTTTTTCAAAGAAATTAAGAGCCTTTCGTATGCCATATAAATGATCAACCTCTCATCTTTTATGCAGCAGCTTCACAGCAACATTTTTTTTTTGGGGGTTATCTCTCGTAATTTAAGAATGCTATTAGCCGTTTCCCATCCTGCTTTTCTGTTTTTATCCTTTGCCCTCCTCTTTAATGTTAGATTTAGTTATGGTGATTAAGAGGATGGTGGCTTCCTTGTAACTTTGCTGCGGGAAAATCATATCACAAGCAGAATATAAAGATGTGCAGTAATAATGGAATTCCGTGGGATTTATTTTTCTTGGCTACTGTTTTTTATACCATTTCCTTGAGGACTTTTCCCCCTCTCAATCTAGACAGCTATACGTACATGAAGGTCAATTGTCACTTGTTGATTTCGAGTGTTTAGGCTTTCCCATCCTGCTTTTCTGTTTCTATCCTTTGCCCTCCTCTTTAATGTTAGATTTAGTTATGGTGATTAAGAGGATGGTGGCTTCCTTGTAACTTTGCTGCGGGAAAATCATATCACAAGCAGAATATAAAGATGTGCAGTAATAATGGAATTCCGTGGGATTTATTTTTCTTGGCTACTGTTTTTTATACCATTTCCTTGAGGACTTTTCCCCCTCTCAATCTAGACAGCTATACGTACATGAAGGTCACATGTCACTTGTTGATTTCTGGGGTTTAGGCTATTTTTGTTCAACTCTTTAGGCCCCCCAATCCCTTTCACGTTAACTTTCACTTTAATGCTATAAACATATTTATATATGTTGGTTATTGTATTTTTAAAAAATAATTTTTTATTTATTTTAAATAATTTTTTTTGTATTTTAAATTATTAGAATGTGTTAATGTCAAAAATAAATATTAAAAAATAAAAAAATACATTTTAAAAAAAAATCATAAAACAATCACTATACTCAATCCCACCGCATGTCAAAAATCATAAAACAATCACTATACTCAATTAATTCCACCGCATGTTTGATAATAGCAATGAAAGTTGAACTTAATTCAAGCTGAACTTAGTGATTTTAAGATTAATAAGCATGAAATATGATCAGTAGTTTTTAATTATTGTCTTGTCTTAACTGATAAAAAACAAATATAATTTTGAATATTTTATATTTTGAAAACACAAAAATTTTGTTTTTTTTTATTTTTTTTTTATATTCCATTATGTAACACATATCTCGTCTAATATAATTTCGAATATATATCTTCTGTTTTGAAAACTCTTCAATTTATTTTAAAATTTATTATCTTTGTTTTTCCAACCAAGCCCCTTTAAGAGGTTAATGTCATTGCATATCCTGCTGGGTGAAGGAATAAACACAAGAAAGCGAGTGAATAAACTCGGATCGTCCATGTTAATCAAGCATAGAAACCTTTTTCTCAGTATATAGTTAACGATGAATAATGCTAACGGCTGCAAATTTGGAGGTTCCAGACCTCCAGGTGCGAAGAAGACGACACTTTGTATGTGCAAGGAATGGGAATTACGATCCCACCCTCCATTACCAGTAAAGACACAGTGCATGAAAAATGGAGGGGTTTAAGCTTTAAGAGGAGGATATGTTCTGGAAAATAATATTATGGAACAGGAAGACGGGATTGCATAATCAAGAAGTAGCAGATGAGGTAAGCATGCATGTTGTCGGTGGAGGGCCTTGCCTTGTACCCAAGAAATTGACGAATGTGTCCTTTATCCCCCACCCAGTAGACAGTGATAGCCCAGTGGTCATTTTTCAGATGTCTCCTTCAAGTTTCTTGCAATAATTCTCGTGATTTATTTGGAGAAATTAAGAATAATAATAATAATAATCCTTCCGACTCAATTTTAGCTAATCTACATGGTCATAGATATACTTAATGCCACAATCGTCTCACGGTTTATAGAATTTAGGCATGTTAAACTTGATGATTCGTTAAAAAGAAGAAGAAGAAGAAGAAGAAAATGAGACATTAATGGCTGCTTCTGCTATCAAGATTTGGTCAAATTCGGCCATTCCCTCCTGTCGGAGAACTGATCCAGTGGAATAAATAAACAAAACAAGTAGCGTATAAAGCCAATCGCCTCAGCAAGACTTTTATTAGGATACAGAGTTTTTTCTCTTTTCTTTCTTTCCATTGCAGGTAGAAATATTATAAGGCTATTGTTCTTAAAAATTTTGTCAGAGATGTTGACTGATTTGTATTTGAATATGTTTTCTTATGACATAAAATAATGGAGATGTTTGTTGGAACTTTTTCCATACAAATTTACAATAACATATATATAATCATACGTCACGTATGTTGAATTTTTACTTCTTTTTTTAATTCTAGTTCCTGGTAGTGTTACGATGGATGGTGTTTTTTAAATTTTCATTTTAAATTTTTTTTAAATAATAATTTTTATATATTCTTTACTCATTGCATTAAAATCATTTAAAAACACTTTAAAATATATTAATTTAAAGTCTCTTAGAGAAAACACCTTACAAAATAAGTTATGATAAAAAAAAAAAAATCAGCCTTGACAATATTAAGTGTCGGTTTGGGATACTATTTCAATTAGAATTTTTCAATAAATTAATTTTTTTAAATTAATATTTTCATATTTTAAAATTATTTTAATGTTAAAAATAAAATTTAAAAAATAAAAAAAAATTATTTTAATATATTTTAAAATAAAAATATTATTTTAAAAAAACAACCATGCCACTTTTCTACCAGTGACTGGTATCGGCGTCCTGTAATTACACGCCGAGTGAAAAGTTTGCAATGAATAAAACTCCGTCCGGCTTTTGTCCAAATGAGTCCAGTAATTCCAAATTCGACAGCTAACCCGAGGGGGCCTTTTGTAGCTCAATACAATCTATATTGGCGGCTAATATTTGAAAATCTTGCCTGGCAGTACTAGTATTCTTTTCTCCTTTAAACCAAAAAAATTAAGCTTTTTTTTTTTCCAGATAACATCGAATGTTTGTGGCAGCTCATAGGCTTATAGCAAGACCTTTTACTTTACAATGGGATAAAAAAAGAAAATCCAACAGCCTAGCTCTGAGGGAGTCAATAATGTTTTTGAACGAGTCACTCACGAGTTTTCATTTGTTTGCGTAAACTATGCTCAAATGGGAATCCTTGAACCTTGACGAGACCATAGCATAAGCAGTGGGGGCATAGGATAGTGTCACTACAGAAATTTCAGGCAATTCCCTTTTTTTCTTCTCTCTTCTATCAAATTCCCATCAAGGATTCAAGAGATATAAGCAGTTTCCAAGAATTTCTTTTTGTGATAATATCAAAGAAATGTAGCCTTTTCTAAAGAGAGGTGTAGATGGATGTAAAACCTGCTACAAGCGTGAGTTAAAAAAAAAAAGGCTACTAAGTTGTTGGTGTATGTGTATTTGTGCGAGTGTGGTGGTGGTCCGAGACGTAGTGGTGCTAAGACCAAAAGATAAAAAGAAGATAAGAGAAGAGAAAACGAAAGAGAAAAAATGTCAACGGTTGTGCAAAAGATACTCGATGCAACTTTGAATCACATTTCTTCGTTGAGTCTTCTTTTCTTCGATGACCTCCTTGGCTCCCTCTTTCAATTTATGTGCGCGTCCCCATGTTAGAGCCTTTGATTGGCAGCTTAACCAAATCATTAACATTCCAATCATTTTTCTCTACTTTGCTTCCATGACCCACCAGTTGATCTCACGCTTGACCACTCGAATAGATCAGTTTAGCCAAATTTTCAATGTTAATGATTGGAAGAATCATGTATAAACTGATTTACATGACGTCCACTCGAGTGGTTTAATTAGTATGATGCCAAGAATAACACAAGTTGCAACGGCATTTCTGTCTTTATCTTGGAGTATCTGTTTGAAAACACGGCTGAAACCACGCACTCACCCGCGGCAGAAGACCTGCAAGTTACGAGCCATAACTTTGTATATTCGATCGCTAGGAGAATGGGGCAAATTCTTGTCACCTTAACTTTGTATATTCACCAGGAGAAGAGGGGGGATATAAAGGGATTTATTTAATAAAAAGGAGAGGTGGTGGGTGTTGTATGGTATATCCAAGCTTTTAGAAAGTATAAATGTAAGATGAAGGGTTAAGGTACAATACATGCCATTTGCCTACAGAAAAAGACTGCATCCATCTTTTTTATATCCCTCAGCTGCACAACCAGACAAACCAAAAGCTTCTCTTCCATTACCTCTTCCCTTTTCCTCTCTCAACATCCTTGCAATCTTGCACATGTCATCTTCCATCAGGGAATCTAATCTTAACAAACCCTCCTTTTCCCTCTTTTCTTCCTTCCGGCCCTCATAATTACCAAAGCCTTCTTTTTCCATGCTTTTTCCTCTTTACTCCTCCTCCTGCAAATCCCCATGCAACGCACTCTTTTCCACACAACCCCTCCAGAAATAAATTCTTTAGTAAAATAAACGAGATACACCTCCATGTACCCGCATTCTCTTTAGAATCTCCTCGTAAATTGAGACCATGTCTCAGCAATACGATCGTAATAAAGAACCGACAAAAGGTGAGAATACCAGGCAAGCGAGTTATGCTGCAACTATACGGTTGCATTACCTGTTCTTCTGGTTTGTGTTAACTGCTCAGATGCTTGTTGGCTGGATTAATCATACATGATGTCAGATTATTGTCCAGATATACGACACTTTCTCCAGTTTTGCTCTGATATTAACACGAAAGTCGTTATTTAGGGAAGATATTGCCGTTGATGCCATCTGCTTATGCGTTCTTGATGGAACACCATTTAAGACAGGGACATGAGGTTTCATAATTCAGGCTATACATTATACAAAAAAATTTATCTGTTGGAAGAGTATAATTAGAGTCAAATTACTTGGGATAGCATGGCATATTGAAAGCTGTGACATATACAGAACTATTCAAACTTGGCGATCATTTATATTTCTGCAGCATGGATGACTCGCATGTAGAAGTACCGATTATGACAGAAAGCTTCTTCTATGGAAATGCTTTGCTCGACTCTTTTAATACTGCAGGTGGGACCAATTCTTTCACGAAGTTGCATCACTGCATGGCTTATCATCTAATTGATGGTTTGGGATCGTCAATGTTCACTCCCAAGAATTTATCCAGAGAATCTTTGAATGCCTGCGACAAGAAAATAATATGTCAAATTCAGATCCAAAGTTCTCATTAGCCCAATGCATCAGAGTTGCTCAAGATAATCCCCATCTTTAACAATCAATTCTGTTTCAGCAAAAAGGGAGACTTTTAGAACGTATTAATTTATCTCTAGGCGTGCTTGGAAGACTTTATTGTCACTCGCATATGAATCAAAGGAAAAGATGACGATGCTGCTAAATAATGCATATAAAAGTTCGTTTGGATGGAGATTGGAAAATGCAAAGAACCAAAAAGAAAACAAAGGCCATGAATAACTTTAAAAAGACTGCTCATTTGGGAAAAAATCAATGTGGTCAAAGTTGAACTGGATCAGAAAACTATAATGAGAGTAGAATCCAAATCGAGTTAGATTCAGCCAGTACAGCTTTTAATTCGAAAAAGAATACAAATCCAGACCCAGAGCATCTAATCTGTAAATGCAATGATCATGCATGGCAAAACTAACATGGCACAGCACTAGCTCACCTTGCAAACTTTTACTGAGAAGAACTCGAGAGGGACTTTTTTCACTGATACCGAAGAAC